CTACTACTACTACTACGTACGTACGTACGTACGTACGTACGTACGTACGTACTACTACTACTACTACTACTACGTAACGTAACGTAACTAACTACTACGTACGTACGTACGTACTACACACACACACACACACACACACACACACACACACACACACACACACACACACACACACACACACACACACACACACACACACACACACACACACACACACACACACACACACACACACACACACACACCACACACACAGACCCAGGGTAGAGCAGACAGAGACAGGAGCAGGGTATTAACCTTTCTCCCGCTGAGGAGGCAGTAAGTGGGTGGTGATGGCACATGGAGTGGAGAGAGGAAGAGAGAGAACAGAGCCAGGAGGAGGTCAACACTGAGACACTAGTTGGAAATATCTATTTGAGGAAACACTGTTCTTTGCTGCTTTGTTAATTATGTGTTTGGAAAGGGTGTCCGTGACATTTGGAAACTTCTGGGATTACTTGCATGAAACTATATATCGAGTTTAGTGAGTGTGCATATTGTGTGTGTGCATTATCAGTGTCTGAGGGAACGGTACAGGTCCACGCTTAATTCATTAGAGTAACTGTGCAGTGTTGTGATCCTCTGTAGCGAGTGTATGACTCAATATCTGGCCAATTCCTAATGTGGTGCAGAAACTGTTCAAGAGGGAGGGCCATCCTGCAACAGGAGCACATGTATTCATCTTCAGGGATCAGATAGAGAGTCTGCACTGGTAGAAGTTTTGACCCTTTCTCTTTCAAAGGGAAGGCTGGCTGAGCACATTTTCAGAAATAACCTGCTGCTAACTCTTATAGTTTTATCACAGCAACAGAACCTCAGGTATAATAGCACCGCATGTTAAAGTGAGCAGAATATTCAACACCTGATTATATTTATACCTCGATCATTACAAACTCTCTGCCCACCCCTATCCTCTTTCAAAATCCCTCTAAGTCTTTTCAGAGGGCAGGCGCTGAGCGAAAACGATTAGAAACAAACCAATACCAATATTTGATTAAAACGTAGGAATGATAATTAACTTAAGACGTAAGAGGGTTACTGTAGATGAGATGAGTTGAAAACGATAGCTCATTGATGATGCCTATGAGCAAATGAAATAGTCTTAATCTTCTCCCTTGTGATTTGATTCATAAAAGAAAGATTTTCTCAATACTCAGGGGTGGAAACAGGTGATGAAGAAATGGTGGCAGCTAATATGTAAGTGTTCTAATACTAGATATGAAACTCATTTGTTTAACCGAGTTACCAACGTCAGTAATGTCTCTCAGAGCAGGTATTTCTTTTTAATTGGTTCATTGAAGTCAGATTTTTCCAGCTGGGTTTGAAGCTGCATTACAAAACAACCTCTTGTCTGTGTTTTGGGCTGCTGCTGCCCTCTTGTGCCGACAGTACACATTACATCTGCAGCATAACATTGAAGGCCTCATGGGAAGCAAACTTGGAATAAATAAATGTTGTTTTGTGCATGGTTGCATTCAGGTAGATTAACATTAGCTATGGAAGTAAGGTGGTTTGAAACGTCTCCTTGAAGAAAAAGTCTGTAATGAGATCTGGGTGAGCCTTTTAATGTTTTATAATTCTATCATCTAGCTTCGGAGAGAATAAAATAGTCTTTGTTTTGAAATGCAATGTTCTACTTAAGAGGTTTACGTCGTACAAATGTTTCACGACAGCAACTCGATGTTTTCCGCGTCATTTGAGAGCATGTTGACTGGGTACTTGCTTGCCCAATATGTCACATTAAATACAAAAGAATACATTATTAACGATTGAAGTGTAGTAGGATTGTGTTAGCATGCATGATAGCGTGATAAGGGAAATAAAAAGATCCATACCTGTGTAGTTTCTGTCATCTTTGGCCGGCAGAATAAGAAGGAAAAAGAAAGATTGATTAAAAAACACGATGCATGTGGAAACAGAACAGTAAGCTAGGCAGAATACATCATTCTGCTTCAGCATTACAAGGAAAATCCTGGAGTTTAACAACTGAATAATTCACCTACATAATGTATCATTTGTAGATTTGGTGCAGTAAAAACTTGAAATTCATTCTATTTCCCTCCACTAGATGGCAGTGACACAACATCGTAGTTATGCTGAGAAATGCAGTTAGTTGGTGCTGAGCAGTCATTTTCTGGCAGGAGCTTCCTAACTGTGGCAGTTATGTAACGCAATGATATTTTACAGGCACAGCATGAAAATAGACCTTCAAATCTCATATTTTGATACAGTGTAAGTACCGTAGAACATCTTACATAGAATAATTAAACAGAGTAAATCATAGGTAAAACATGAATGAATTGTAGAGCATTAACACTTACAGTTTTTGCATTCATTATACAATAAGTCGCCTACTTTCAGTCCAACTGTGCTGATAATTCCCTCTTTCATCCCTTTTAATACTTCCATTCCCATAGCAACTTTATTAGTTGCCATGCCAACGCCTCATAGGACCAGTTGGCGATCTGGTTTCTTTCAGTTCTTTGTTTGTGTGTAATCTTTTTTTTTTGCTTTGCTCTAATTTGGACAAATCTTTTCAGATGAGCCAACTGTTGTAAGAGAAGAACACTCTTTAGTGTCGATGAAATCACAAATATCTACTCACACACACACACACACACACACACACACACACACACACACACACACACACACACACACACACACACACACACACACACTCTCTCATCTTACAGTCATTGAGTATTTATCCATTTATAAAGTTTATTCCAGTTCTTATTCAGTTTACTTTCCTGTGCCAACGGTACAAACTACCTTCTGTGGATTACGCTCTGATTGGTTGGATCATTTACTGCTTAGCAACCGTGTTCCACCGTTGGGAGAGCAGGTGTTTGTAATTATCTTTAAAGCCTCGTGTGCCCATTTTTTTTGTGAGGCAGCCACGTCTGTGTGATGAAATGGACTCATTCCTTTTTTTTTGAATACAGTGTAAATTACAGCCAATAAAAAAAGAAGTAAAGGATTTCAATGCATTTACTGGGGCTTTAAATCGTGGTTATCATAGATTATTGATCAACTGCAAAATGTCAGACAATTGTAAAAAGGTCAATTATATTTAGCAGTTATGGTCTTTAAATTGATTGTTTCATCTCATCAACTCAGAACATGAAGCTCAGCAGTATCATATATGAGCAATGTAGCTCTATAAAATATATTGAAAACTTGAATAGGCTAAAAGTTTTAATGGGATGTTACATTTATTTCCAAATTGCTGGTAAAGCCCTCAAAGATGAAGAAGCCGCCTTAACCATGTTTTAAATTGGTTATAACTTCATTTGGAACCACAGTATAGCTTTGTTAACAATAAAAGTGTATATCTAGAGAAAGGGATTGAAATGGGTTTAATCTTTGTCACAACGTTTTTAATTATAAAGGAAATCTTCATAATTGTCAAATCGTATCTGTTTTAATAAAAAGGAATTTGCTTTTTTCTCATAAGTAAAACTGATTTAATGAATTGTCGTGTAGTGGTTTCCAGACGTATTGGTGTGAGGTGACTCCATAGCCCTGGACCCCCTTTATTGTTTACCAGTGTAGAAAAAGGGGTTATTTGATCATCTCGTTGTAAAACTAAACCGTCAGCGATCTTACTACTACTAGTTGAATTTTGAAAGTAAACTTTAAAAGCCGTTAATTCATCAGAGCTATACTTTCAGCTAACTATTTCAACTGCCAAAGACATTACCACCATTTTGATGGTTAAAATACATCTTTGAGTTACATGACACATCTTGCACATTTCGCCGGCCATTTCTAACAAGGCTAAGTCCTACCAAGACTTCAATACTTCTCTTATTTCAAATTGTACAAAACCCTTTTAACAAAAAAGTAAGTATAAATTGATAAAAGATTGATTGAGCTTGGTTAACTTTTCATCTTAATGTTTATTCTTTGTTTACCTTATATACATCTACTATTCCCGTTTTATTTGAAAAACTTTTTTTTCATACCTGAATCTTTAATTGTAGACGATTCCTTAAAGTCTATTTGTTCAACGCGTTTCATATTGATAAAAAAAAGGATCATATATGACAAAGAAAGGCACCCAATCCTGACATTTAAGGAGCAGGAACCAGAGAATGATTGGCAATTTTTTTGCTTGAATAATTGACCGATAATAATGTTATTTATTTTGATGGATATTATTTATATGAGAAACATTCATACAAAGGTGGTCATTGTGGTATAAATGTTCACTGACTGTACTGCACTGGTTGCATTGATCATATAAGTATCATTAATTAAGCCTGTGTTGTCATTTCGCCTGCTGAGACAGTAAATGACATCTCAGCAGACAACATCATTTTCCTAATTCTGCTGTTTTTAAAAGTCTAAAATCTCATTTAGTCCCACTGGGTCAGGAACTCACAGAGGCAGGTGGGTTTAGGCGCGTCCCACTTTCCCAGTTTAGTGCAATGGCTGATGTTTCTGCCCTCCAGGATGAAGCCGGCGTGGCAGCTGTAGTGGAGCACCGTGCCCTCCACCGGCGGCCCGGGGGGCTTCACCATCACCCGGCCGTTCTCCAGGGAGGTCCACACCCGCGGGCACAGCAGCACTGAGAACCAGAAGCACCACAAAGAGAGAGAGGCACAGACACAGAGCGTTATACAGAGGTAGATGCAGAATAACTGGGGGAAGGAGCTGCAGTTGCACTCATATTTATCAGAGGTAAACACACTTTGGATGGGGAAATAATGTTATTGGTTGTAAAAAATCTCAATGAGTTTAGCCCATAGAATGTATGTATGAGGTGAAGGAAGTCAAATAGCTCGTACAGGCTAACTTGATACATTATTGAAGCCATTTGGGAACAGCAGAACAAGCTGTAAACCCAACATTAACATATACGTACATTATGGTGAACATTTAGCTAGACACCAACCGAGCAGATATTCATTTAGACTCGTATTTTTCTGGATACCCGATAAACGTTGATATTCACCTTATTAAGTCTGTTTTTTAGTCTCCCTTCTTCTCCTTCAGCTAAATGCTCTACATTGTTTGAGTATCAACAAGCTATTTTTAATGATTTAAAAAAAGAGAAGAATACTCGCCAATTGACTGGGAGTTTAACAATGACTTGTGACTTAAGTATTAACATTCAAGAAGATGTTTAGAAGGTGGTTGTGGCTCAGTGGTGAGTGAGCGAAACTTGATATAATCACGGGGGCACTGGTTCGAATCCCGCTGCAGTCAACATTCCGCTGTGTCCTTGGACAAGACACTCCACCCCAAATTGCTCCTTTGGGTATTGCCCACAGTATTGAATGTATGCAAGTCGCTTTGGATAAAAGCGTCTAACAAGTGACATGTAATGTAGAAATAGGCTATGAATCAAATCATTTCCTGTATCAAAAATGATAACGGTCCACACTTTATTCCTCTGATCCATCACGTTTGAATAAAACAAACAGCATCCAATCAAGTTGCAGGAGAGAATCACAAGGAAGTCATGTTGAATACTGGACACCACTTGGAAAAAATTAAGCCAAAGATTATTTGGTTCGTATACAAAAAATAAATACAATAAAAATATACAAGTAAAAAAAAACAGACTCAATTGGTAAATATTATTTTTAAGGACTCGAATTTCATATTTTAGATGCTTTTAGTTCTAGTCTTCATTCATGTTTCTCGATTGTTCTACTATTAAGTGCGCTTACTTTGCTACTATGTTATGTACCAACGAACCAGAATAAATAAGAGCATTGTATGTCGAAGCCTACTGGGCAGTCAACCAGATTCTGATTATCAATATGATTCGAAAGCAAGAGGTCAACAAAAGAGATAAAGAGTTATTTATAAACTGTGTAAGAATTATGAATTAATAATAAGATAAAAGCTTTGTCTGAAATGTGAACAAACAATTGGTAAAACACAAATAAGCGATTAGGTGCTTGACCTCTGACAAATGATTGCAAACCAGACACATTGTAAAACGTCGTTACGCCCTGTGAACATTCTCCTTTATTACCAGTAGGAAACATTTTGCTACACATGAGCCCGAGTGTGTAAACTTGCTATGTTACAGCCTCCATTTCTCTTAGTTTGGGTTTCTGACAAAACGGCTAAGCTCTTGAATATCATTTGTTTAGCTGCTGAGTTGTTGAATCTTCCTTCCAGCACGCAAACACATAATAAAACTCCAATCTGCACATTGCAGCTTGAGCTCTTACATAAGCCAGAGAAAACAAAAATCCGGCTTTAGAGAATATTCTCTCGGGAAAAATAAGTTCCACTGATGTTAAATGTGAACTGAAAGAACAAAATCAGGAGATAGAACAGGGATTTGATTGGATATCTGGCCTTATTCTCAGTATTTGCACAGGCGGTGTAGATATGATCTGATTAGAAATTACATTTCAGCTTCGCTATTCAAGAAAATACTGGCTTGCTGGCAAAGCTTGCAGCTAAAACACACATTTAATCTATGTAAAAGCAGTTAAACCGCTTCAACACTAGAATAAGTGAATAGCTAATGGACTTGTGTATCATACACACAGATAGAAAGTAACACATGTTGAAGCTAAGCAAGCTAGCTCTTTTCTTCTTTAACCATAACCCAAGTAAGCACTTCTAATCAATACGCAGCAAGCATCAGCGCAAACTATTCTCTACGGGGGTTTCAAAGATAAATTCACATTAGCATGAATCTCTTTATATAGCCCTTCATTAGGCACACATACCTTAGAGTACAGCATCTGAAAAAGCCAATCAGCACTCAGCAGGAAAACTCAGCAAAATAACAAACCTTTATAGATCAGAATTAAACAACACAAAGTATGTTTACAAGCTGTGGTTTGGGGGCATGTCCCCTTAACAGCAGAAGACCAATTTCACTGAAAAATGTGTTACTATTCAACCAAAATGTGTGACAACATAATCCCACCCACTTCAAAGGTCCACTTAATAGCTTTTTCAAAACTGCATCAATGATGTTTGTTGGGGTGCTTGGGGTATTCAATCGTTATTTGTCCAATCACGGACTCCTAGTCGATGATGGGACCGGTTTTTGTCTGGTTATCAGAGATAATAATTCCTTTCCATTATTGCAATATCCAACATTTTGTTACCAAGGTCAGGAATATAGTTCAACTTCATACAAAGAAATATGGCGGTCTTTTACAATTATCTACGACCTACCATCTTCTGCATTATAAGATGTTTCTGTATTGATCAGATAGCTTAATAATGACAGTAATGACAGCAACCATTTAAAAGTTTAATAATCTATATTTTTAACAATGCATTAAAAAGACATTGTGTAAGGGAGCTCTGTAGTAATGAACCTACAGAGAATGATCCCCTGAATCTGCCGCTCTCCTTTGGCTTTACAGAGCTTCATGGCGAGTTTCAGCTCCTTGTAAAGCTGCCAAGCGGCAACTTTAATGTTTAGGTACGTTGGAGACCAGCTTGGGAACAAAGTGGAGCATTTAGCAGCTAAAGTGCCAGATGTTCCCTCAGGAGTTCAAATGGAGACCAAAAGAGAGAGAGAGCGTGGACACAAACATGACCCAACATGAATGCTAATGTTGCTCTCTAACGGCTGGATGTGAAATAATCAACTGTTCCCTCTACCTAGCTAAAAGGTGATATATGTCAGTATTGTGTCTTAAAGAAACAACATGTAAAAGCTGCGGTTGATTTCATGTAAGCTTCTTCCAAGACTAGATTACTTTATTTTTCTGCAGTTAAAAATGACACCAGTTCCAGTAAAGGTTGCACACTATTTTATGCTTTGTTCAGGGGAGAATTGTTTTGAACATGTGTAAGATGAGGAAAGGTGAAGGTTGTGGTAAAAAGGATGTGAGAATCAGACAAAAAAGGACTCACAACATGTGCTGTGCAGCGTCAAGTCCGTCCATGTGCCGTTGGGTAAGCACTTCCTGACCTTAGGTCCCACAATCACCCTGTTTCCTCTGCAGATGTACTCTATCTCATAATCCACAGGGAGGATCTGCACACTGCGGATCTGTAAGAGAAACAGAGAGAGAGAAAGAGAGAGAGAGAGAGAGAGAGAGAGAGAGAGAGAGAGAGAGAGAGAGAGAGAGAGAGAGAGAGAGAGAGAGAGAGAGAGAGAGAGAGAGAGAGAGAGAGATGGGGGGGAGACACAGAAATTAAAGCATGATTGATGCCCTCTCAAACCAGTTTTCCCTTATCCACTCAGGGTCCCTCTACAGTCCTTCTCAATGCAGTATGATCTAGTGCCATGTGTCGGTGACAATAAAGTTTTACTAGATGGAACATTTTCTGGCCATATTGTGTGAATCGTTGGGCTGTCAAACATCTGAAATACAGCTTCTCTCTGATTGGGGAAGGAGGGGATATAAGCAGTTTGAACAGCGTTATGTTAACACTTCATATGCATTCACTGTGCATATGCTTAGAGTGCTGCAAACAGAAACAGCTCAGTTTTACATGGTCTTTCTTACATTTTAAAACGTCACCAGTCTCTTTTATAATTAGATATTTTTGCTGCATTATAGATTAAATTAGAATCATGTGAGCTTTAAAGTCCCTCTTCACTCAAAAGTGTATAGTTTCTTCATCTGGATGTCTGTCACACGTTTTGTTGAACGGACTCAGGTCAGCTGTTTCTACCTGCTGTGATCTTTCTATAGTTCAAGATAGCTAAGCTAAGCAACATTTTTAGAGCAGACAATCCTCTCATTTCAGCAAGAAAGCCAAAAGGGTAGTCTGTGTGTCAAAAAGTTCAACTATTTTTTTAATAAAGTAATGCAACGTACTTATAACTGATAGTGTAATAATAATTCCAGCTAATGTTTTGATAACGCAATATATCTACTATTCTTCATGGCCGTTAACATTAGGCAATGTTATGATATCATTCATCCCAGTCTCACGGCATTTCGTGTTATAGTCACGAAATTAATGTAATAGCATAGCAATAGCAATACCCAATAGAGGGTAGCAAACAGCATTAGCCCCAAAAGTCGCTGATTGTACCGAGAAAGTCGCTAAATTGCCAGAACTGGCAGCCATTTTCTCCCTCCAAAATCACACCTCAAAAAGTATCAACATGAATGTAAACATATTTATATGTAAACAACACACATGGCTATGGTTAGCATTTACAGCTGTCAAGCTAGCAACTCCGGTGACGCGCATTGAGTGCACGAGCAGTGTGTATGCAGACCGATGCAGACAGGTAGTTTGACGGACAGGTAGTTCGTCCAATCATTTTGACAGCATACAATGATTGGAAGGACTTATTCGGGTCATGCAATAGTCAAATAATATTGTTTTTTGTTGTTTGGGTTTTTTGTCAGAGCATTTGACGTGTTCATTGTTGCCAGGAGTATTTCAACAAATTTAACCCACACATTATCCACCCTCTATTTCCTAAGGCAGTCATAATGGTTTTAATATGGAAAGAAATTACATTACAGGAAGCAGATACAGTTTCACCTGCTTTATATTTCCACTTGTGTGTTTTATTATATTGAAAATTGTCCGGTAAACTGGTTTAACGTCCTTGATTTGACAGGTAAAGTTGTGTCATTCAGACCCAGAGCTGTATTTTCTGTACCTGTTCCTGTGTCAGGCCTCTGTAGCGGATCCCCCCATCTCTGGGAGGCCGGATGATAGCACAGCCTGAATGGAAAAAGAGCAGAGGAAGAAGAATGAAGGACGAAAAGAGCTGAGGGAAAAGCTTTATCTGCAGATAATGTAGAAACATTACAGCAACATGACATATTGTCAATTTAACTGATGCTTTTCTCGCTGCACAAATGACAGTGCTTCATTCAGGTCACTCAGCAATCTCTGCAGAGTTACTTATGTCCATTAAGGCTCATTATAACCAACCACACATTCCAGCACATATTCAGTCACAAACACACAAATTACCTCCAGTTGATGAATTATGTATGGGCACAACGAAAGATGGAAGAGCATAGAGAATCACCACAAACAATAGGCGTTCCATCTCTGGATCTGAAAGAGAAAGAAGACAGAGGTAAATGTAGAGAACTGTGACTGGAAAATTTTGAAAACAAGATGCAACGAGAAAAACACTACTGAGAAAATATTCTTGCAGAATCAAATAGACAGTCTCAGTTCTCAGATACAGTCATTTCCAGTCCACTGCTGTCTGTCCTTCTAAAACGAGATGCATCAACTTTTTGGCAAAACACTCCCTCTTCATCCTGCCTGACTGCACACAAAGGATGAGCTGCAACATGAGTCCACTTCTCTCCCCCTGCTTCAGTTTGTATTTACCTTGCAGACAGCCCAGGTACATTTGATAGCCAGATAGGCTTCCTTTCAAAAAGCCCTGCGTGCTAAGTTTCAACTCAGGTTTGGATGGCTGATATTAACAATTTTGCAAAAACGGCTGACCATTTCACGCAAGGCCTGACACAATACATTTTAGATCTGTCTTCATTTCAAGGTAATAATGTATCCCCCAAAGGCTCTCCATAGCAAGACAGAAAGTATTTATTTTATTTTAACAGATGTTAATGGCACAATGACCCACCACACATACTCACAGGCCTGGAAACTCTCTGAGAATTCTCCATCAATGTAGCCTTGCACTATGCTAACACTGTGAGAACTACAAAAGAAGGTTGACGCAGCGGAAGCAGAGATGTCGTATTTATAATTCAATGCATTCTATTTTCTCGTAAAAACATTACCCACAGTGCAACTTGACCGTTGACATCACTTGAGGCGATTTAACAGACTCCACACAGCTCCCTCTGGAGCCGTGAAAGGCTTTATACAACTTTGTTTTCACATATGCAGTAGTACTCCCCGAGATCTCTAAACAGACTTTGATGTAAGATCGGAGGAGTTCCCATGAATTAACGATTAATTCAATAAATAATATCTGCTATATCAACAAATAACAAATAAAACATAAGGTCCCAATGTTTTAGGCAAACTATCACAATTATTCAACCCTATTTAATGTGCACAGAATCAGTCTGCTTTACAAGGATGGAGAAATTGCACTTGCCACTTGGCTACCACACTAACGTGCAGATATTTTAAGGACTGAAAGTGTGATATGATAACCAGAAAAAAGTCAAAAGACCCATGAGTCCCGTGAGCCACAGCGCCTCAGTGCTCGCACAAACACAACTGAATGTATCAATGATAAACACACTATATATAGCTGCTCATTTGCAGTTTTGAATAATAAATGCTGCTTCATGAGGCTGCCACAGATGCACCAACATAAACACATCCATACACTTAACAAGACAGTAAGGGGGTGGAGAGGGTGTGTGTGATAAAGTGGGAAGGTGGGTAAGGGGGCATAACAAAGCAAAGCACCACAGTGAGGGAGACAGATGGCAGCGAGGCTTGCTTGTGGAAGACAGACAAACTCTGCTGGATCCTTCATTAGCATTATCCAGTGTATTTTTAGAGTTCGCTGAGCAGAGAGTGTCTCATGTGTGTGTTGGTGTGTGCATAGGGGGTGGGGGGTGTTGGCAGCGTACAATACGTGCTTTTGTCCTGTAAGGGATGGAGGGGAGGGGGAGGTAGGAGAGAGAAAAAAGGGGTGAGAAAGAAGTACAGCCCAGCAGGAGTCATTAATATCAGCGATCACACACTGAGCTAGGAGAGTGAGTGTATCGGGCTGAAGCAGCTTATCCCCCATAAAGCCAGCTAACTCCATCAGCGCTGTGAGCAGACAGGGGAAAGGGGGGCAGTCGACTAGCCTCAAGCTTTAAATGCAATTAAGGCTTCAGCACCACGGACAGCGCCTTCTCTGCTCGGTGAACAGAGAACAACATCTTTTTACAAAAAGCACCTACAGCCCATTCACCGCTAATGTTGCACACTGCCTACTTCCTTGTGTGTCTTTAATTCCGGAAGCTGCAATGGAAAGGGATGATCCGGACCACTGACAGCTTCATGTACAGACGCTTGTAGGCTAGTTGATATTTTCAATTTCTATGCAGGGCCACACGGGGACCACGCACATACAGTAGACGCATATGCTGTATTTTGTGCATGGCTGAGCATGAACTACTGAGACGTGAGGGTCACAGTAAGAGTGCCACCAACCGTATGCTGCCGGTAGTTACTTGTCGGCTGTTGACAAGGGAATCCGTGATGGCCTGTAGAGCAAGGCCGACCATATTAACAAGCCCGTACAGTGGTTAAATCTCAAAAGTAGCGTCCCGAATCACATATCACCTCATTAGACCGACTGTATTCCGTTTGAAAGGGTGCAGAATCTCACCATGTTATCGTCTCTTTATATAGCATTAATGCAGAGAGGATCTTGCAAGAAGGAACTCAAAACAAATCTGGCCTGTGCCCATCGAAAATGAATGGCCTTTGCATACCAAGCCAACATGATGGGGCATCTATATAGGTTATCTGCATGGGAAATTGAACATTTTCTGAATAAATGGAGTCTATTATTGCGACTTACAGTAATAGTAGCCCGTAGCCCCGTAAAGCAAAGCGGTAGCATGTGTACTTACTATTAGTTCCGATGCGCTCCGTCAATATAACAGTAGGCTACGTCCTCCGAGGTGGATCCACCAGGAAATGCCCAACGTCGGATTATTTGGTAAAAATATGCATCTTTACAACGATGTTATGGCTATAATAGTATGGCTATCAATGTGCAAGCTGCTCCGCTCGTAAACAGAATGTTACAAAAACAAGACGTATCTTATTCGGGTTATTTCTATGTATTGCAGTTACGCATGGCAAAGGTAAGAAATGACAAAAATCCATACAAAAATTATACATGCACTATATACAAACGCAGCCCCATAAACGACGAAACACCGATTCACCACACTCCCCTCCTTTTCTCTCTCTCTCTCTCCCCTTACAATCTTGAGCTAACTCACGACGTCATGATGGAGACGCACCGTGCGTAACAGCCTCTCTCACGCATTTATCAGATAGTCCCCCCTCCCTCCTTCCCAAGATGGCAAGCGCTAGGATCTGGGCCCACGACTGTAATATATTACATGAATCTTACGATCAGGCTTTGGATTTACGATAAGCTTGTGGATTTATCCCACCGTTAATAATTATATCACTGCATGACTAGACACGGATGGAGGTGCATATATGACGCTGTGGTGTTATCAGTGACTCCATTGTTAAGCCTCTCTCTAAAGCCCTTATGAGTTAAGTCAACGAAGCAACAATCAGTCCTTTCTACAACACTGGTCATCGATTAAATCAAAGCCCATCGCCAGCTTCACCTTCTCCACCATCCTCTGCTGCCATCTATTCTGAGATCCTGCTTCATATTTATGTTGCTGATGAATAATTGAAGGAAGGTTGGGGAAGACACAACCTATCCCTCTGTCTCTCACCATCCTTCTTCCTGCATCTGTAAAACAGGAATTCACATCCTAACCTGCCTCTTGACGGACAATTCTACTAAAGTTCCTACAAGAAATCCAATAATATGAAAATACAGGAATACAAAAGCCACAATAAGTATGATCTGATTTATTGATTATAGATAGGACAATGCACTAATTGGAAAGTGACATTCTGACTAATTCAGAAATGCCATTAAATGGATGAAGACTAATCGTTAAGACAGGAGTGAAGGTGAGGTGTTTCAGATAAACTGCGACGATAATGATTTAAATACACATGACAAACTGTGAGTATCCCGAACATATGTACAACAAACTCGTCAAACATTCAAATCCTTTAGCACATGTAACTGTACATGTCAATATTTTTCCAGCTTTGTAATAATTACATACATATACAAGTCATTCCTTGACTTCATCTTTTTGCATCGTACACTTTGACAATCAAAGTACAATATCATGAAAGAAAATAAAGAAATCAAAACGTAAATCATAGCTCTCCAAGTCTTGGAAACGGCACTAGGTAGACCTGGATTGTTAAAATGTTCTAAAAATCATAAAAAGGGCAAACTATACATATTTCTGGGCAGATGAGATTACAACAAGGTGCTACTCATGCTAAATGTGTTTTTTTGTGTCAAGGCACACTTCAAATTACAAGGGGAAACATTTTGGTTTAAAGGCAAAGAAAAGAGGAAATGCATTTGCTGCAAATGAAATCCACTTATTAAAATGTAAACAATACATGTTTGGAAAAGGCTCTTGCCCCAAAAGACTACAGCATAACGACATAAAAAAAAAGAAACCATGGCTGCAGCTTCGTCATCTTAGTTTCAATGGTGTCAGTTTGTTTCAGCATATAGCCCTAAATACATTTCATAAATGCCTGTGTATAGCTCACTAGGAGTGCATGCTGTCGGAGTGGAAAACTGTCAAGACTCCATTCATTAATCATTTTCAAAAACCGCATTCTCTCGTGCCAATAATAACAAAGTCATTCTTGCAGCATGTTACTGGAAATAAATATGTGAAATGTGAAATTCAAACGTGCTTTCATTCCGCACTGACAGAATCGTTTTTGTCATTTTTCCTTGCACACTGACTTGATGAAGGGGGTGAATACGAGTCTGGGTCTCTTGTGTGTGGAGAGACCCTGCAAACACTCTACATTGAAGCAATGGCTGATAAGACCTGACAGGACTGGAAGGAGAACCAACGCAGGGTTTTGTTTACACTAGTCTCACCAGATTAGATCAACGATTAGCCTGGGAAATAAGAAATGAAGGTTTTTGAAACGAGTCAGCTAAACCCAGGCTTTCGATCACTTTTTGCTGTTCCTTCATGCACAAGGAAAACATTCTACCCAGAATCCTTCAGAGGGATGAATAAACTGTATACATGTCCTGGAGGGTTGAAATCTCTTTAGATTGTGTTAGTGTTCTAACTAGGCTGCAATATTAACTATTGATCAGTGTCAGCTTTAGAATGAAGTGTTGTCAGTCATGTAATGTGTGCTAATTTACACGTATCAATTTATACCCCTAGAACTGCATCACTCCAGTGTTACACTTGCAGCTGAGTTACTGTCTTTTGACTTTGGTTGGTACCTATGTGTTAGGGATGTTGACCCTACATTTCATATCTATGGCAGCCTCACAAACTGAAGCTTCGGTGGTGCTGCTTGTAGAACTGCTGCTGGCGCTCTTTAGCGGCGCTCTCCACCATCTTGTCTCTTCTATCCATCACTCCGCCTCTCTCTTTCTCCCCCTCATCCCCAGTTACGCTCCCTACATCACTGAGGTCCCCGAGGTGCTCAATGGAGTCATATTTCTCCAAGTCGGAAGCGATGGTCTGCAGGCTGAAGACTGAAAGCGAATCCGACCCCGCCCGTTCCCTCTCCTTCTCAATCTCCTTCTCCTTGTATTTCTCCAGGTCGATGGCTGCATCCACCCGACCCGCCCCCGTCGCGGCACCGCTGCAGGCGCCACCTTCTATCTTCACTCTGACGTCGGACTCGGCTCCAACGGGGGGACTACGCCCAGCGCAGACAGTGGTGCGTCCTCCCCCTGCCTGGTCCCGCCCCCTCTGAGCGTGGATCTGCTCGCTGATTTTTTCCAAGTTTCGCAGGGCGATGGAGTAGCGGGACTTCACTTTAGCTACTTGCTGTTCAAGCTGCAGCACTTTGGCCTTATTCTCCTGGAGTCACACAGAGGGCACAGAAACTTTCATCATCAATTTCAACATTGATTTTATGCCACAACCTACCAGTGACCTCTACCAAATCCATAACGTACAGAATGTAAAACCACCTTTTTTCTGCCAACGCAGCAGCTTAACAATAGACTAATTATTATTGTGACTTGCAGGAAGAGAACACAGAACATATTGTATGTCTGCTTTACCTCCAGAATGTGGTTGAACTGGGCCTTGAGCTCAAAGTAAGGTTTGGATTTCACAATGACTCTTTTGAGGGACTTTTGCAGCATCTGAACGCGAGCCTCGGCCTCCTGACAGGCGTGTGTGACGCGCATGTGTTCCCTCTCACTGCGGAGTCGCTCCTCCTCCGCTTCGTTCACCTGGGAGAGACACGCAGGAGAAAGATGTCAACACACCAAGAGCAGACCCCTTTCAAACTTTAATTCAAGGCTCTTATTGTCATGTGTGCATAGCTACAGTGTAGTTAGGGCAATCTTAGGTCCCAAGCCCCTCCAACAGTGCAACACAATAAAAGAGATACAATTGTGCAAGTAAATAAAATAAAATAGAATATAATAGAAACAGAATATGATAGAAACTGTGCAGAATAGTCTATACAGTAACTGGAAAATTGATATATGAGTTGCAAACAGATGAATGTTATGTATGTTCTTTCAAAAGTTCACGTGTTTAACATTGTTTCAACTGAAGTTTGATCCTCATGTCACTATCCACCCTGATGGTTTTAAAGGAATTCAATGCTTATTGATGGGAATTCTCTTAACAACACTATTCCTCTTCAAGTAAGACTTAAAAAACATAAATAAACAACAAGGTATTGACTCGCTCTGATTAAGCCTATTTGTTCACTATCCATCATCATTTAGACTTTTCTTTATCCATGGTATTCCTGGTGAATGTTTTATCTTGCTTTAAAACATGTAGCATCTCATTTGAGTCGCCACAACCATCCTGCACCAAACATACACTCAACTGAGGTCTGGTGTGATTGTGTTAAAGCATGTGTACGTCCTCCGGTTGGTTACCTTGGAGGTAGCGTGGTTCAGCATCTCCTGCCAGGTGGGATCCAGAGTGTTCTTACCATCAGCCATCAAGCCCTGCTCTGCCACATAGACCATCTCCCTGGCAGCTGTGTGCATAGAGACCGCTCTCTCGTAGCTCAAAGCTGCCTTCTGGGTCTCCTGCTGTGCCTACAGAGAGCAGACAAAACTTTTATAGCCTACAGAAGGAGAATAATGACAAGGACACAGTCAGGAGTTCTGTTGAGTCCAATTACAATCAGGTCTCTGTAAAGTCGAATTAATTCAAGTCTGCAGGATGTCGAAATAGGTAGGCAAGGGAACAAATGTGTTGCCTATTCTTTAAAAAAGCATTTATTTTACTGTTACAAAACTCCATAAGGGAAATCTCACGCAGCTCATGTTTCTGTGGGAGCGAAACGAGTATCTGTTGTCCACATTGTGTTTAACTAGATCCAGTAAAGCTGAATGGCGAATCACACCTTGCACTGTAATCACGCTCTTATGCAGATTGAATGCCCAGTTGTGATCAGAGCCCTCTTTCCTGTTCACATTTCATTTCATTTGCTTTAAGATGTTGAACACTGTTATCGCTGCCATATAGATAAGATGTAATAATAATAATAATAATAATAATACTACATGGGATTTCTATAGCGCTTTTCCTAATGCTCAAAGACGCTTTTCCTATCATCAGAATAAAAACAGAAACTGGAGCTAATGGACCTGGTGTCTGGGATTTGTAAGGTTATACTGTAGAAACCTGAAAAGCAAAAATACATTTGCAGTAACACTATACTGCGCATGTGGACTAATGTGCCCCTGACCACTTCCAGATTCATTCTGAGTAACTAAATCCCAATTTCTCTATACCCTTGGATCTGATGGGGACAGAGTGCCTTGTCTAAGGACACTTCAGGTGGCCTTGCTTACACTGAGGTTAGAACTTAAAGAGCAACTTGCAGGGTTTTTTCTTTTTCTACATTTATGCTTAACCTTGCCTGAAAATTAAAATTAAAAAAGTTAATGCAGGATTTGATATGTTTTACAAGACATAAGGGCAGGAATTCAGAGGGAAAGGAGACGTTTTTTTTAAACGTCAAATGCGTCATATTACGTCACATGGGGGAGCAACTTTCTCGGACTCCTTCTCTGCCCAATCCGCGGTAGTAGTTTGTAGTTGGTTTGAGCGGTTGTGATTTAGTGAGCTGATATTTTTTCGGTAATTTTACATTGCATTTCACCATTTGTAATCATGGTGAGCTTGTGTTTGTGCAGGTTGCACAAACTCGAGCCTGTCAGGACATCGAGTCCACAGTTTCCTTAACAGGAAAAGGACCGGAGCTAGCGTTTGTTCCTGGGTGTGTTGTGCATCCACCTCCCTGCAGCACATACTCTCCACAGCTGAAGCCTATCAAGCCAAACGTTTATCAGGAAACAGTATTAGACCTCTCTCCCCCATCCATGTTTATCACTACGTTAGACCGGCCGCTCTCCCCCATGTTACGTCACACACGGAGGCTTTTTTTATACGGAAGTAAAAATGTCTTCCAAAAATGACGCCAGATGTCACTGTAGTTTATATTTCTGTATATCTTTTTGAAAATCTAGTGTATTCATCATTTTCCTAAACATTTATTCACTGGTGTCTCTAACCTGCAAGTTGCTCTTTAAGGTAAACAACAGCATGTTCAGGCACAATATTCTTTTTTAGTTATGTCAACTTTTGCATCTCAATAAAGGACACTTCGTTTCAGAGGATTTCTTTAAAGGTCCCCTACTGTACAGTTTTTCATCAATATATTATAGGTCTCAGATATATAGAAAACATGTCTCTGAAGGGTTTGGCTCCAAACACCAAACAGATCATGCATTGTAGCATTACCCATAATCCCCTGTTTCCGCCCTGTTTCCAAAGTGCTGATTCTCTGTCTGTTATTTTAGATGAAAATAAGGAGCCACTCCCCACGCCCCTCTGAGAGATATTTGGTTAAAAAGAACACAATGGTGCTCTAGGAGGAGATTCAGGTGATAAGGTGGGGGGGGNGATTAATTGCGATTAATTAATTACAAAGCCTGTAATTAATTAGATTAATTTTTTTAATCGAGTCCCGGCCCTAATTAATTTTATTAAATACGAATTCTTGTCATTTATTTTATTTATTGTTCTCATTGTTATGGTTATGGTTCTGGTGTAAAATAAAGCACACTAATTACATTTAAGACTGTTTCCCTTTTTTTAAGAAAAGTATCGAAAAATAATCGGAATCGTAATTCTTGACTTGGTATCGGTATCGAAACCAAAATGTTGGTAAC